CTCTCAGTTAGTGATTGTTTGCCTCTACTCTAATTGAGAGAATCAAAGTTAGAGTATAGAGATGGACTGTAAAAGTCCTATAATATGCTGTACAACAGGTTCAGGGTGCCCTCCTTAGCATGAAAGTGTTTACTTGAGTACTGTGTTCATACTGCCAGTGCAGGTTTTGATTTGAAGACAATTGAGAAGAAGACAGAAGGTTCTTATGGTCAGGTTCTGATATGGTTCAAAGGGAATGAAGCTTGGCCCTTTACCTATTTATTTGAAATGAAAAGAAGGCCCTTCATTGGTGCAGCTATTTAGGATATACATAGAATGCTTCTAAAAAATAGGAGCATTTTGTTGGTGTATTAAACCCACCAAATAATGGTAGCTGTGTTTCTAGGAAAGTTTGACAGATGTTGAGAGAGTTGGCTATAAGAGATATTATACATGATGTTGGAAATGGAACCAATACATCTCTCTAGTATGACTCTTGACTGCCTATCGGTTCTATAGTGGAAAGGTATGTATGGTGAGCAGATCATAGGGGCGTCTGGTCTTCCCAAAAATGTCAAAGTGAAAAAGTAGCAGTCAGATTATTAGGAATAATAGATCTTGAATTTGCAGGCTCCTGTTGGCGCTCGGAAGTCTGTTGATTAAGCTCATTTTGAGAATAATCTTTTTTTCTATTTGATTTGGCTTGAAAGTCAAAGTCAGTGTAAGATAAACATAATAAAACTATGTTTTTTATTATCTTGTATTTTCCATTGATTAAAAGGAACACGCACGAAGTGACTGACGGAATAATAAGACTGAACTAATTGACTAGCTCTTTTAATACTTCACCGATTCCGCTAAGACTGGGAAGCCGTGACTTGAGGTCTTCCAGAAGATCTCGATGATGGAAATTCCAAGGGATAATGATTTTAAGGGGGGGTGGGTCCACTAGTCGCTATTACACTGCGATCCTTAAGGAAATTTCAGCATTAAATGGCTTTGTTCGTTAGCTTTTCGTTATTCAATTTCATTATAGAATCTGGTTTGGCTGCGCTGGTATAACAATCCCTTCTAGCTGCTTTTAGCAAAATCAAGAATCTAACTATACGCTTCAATTTCTATGAGTTAATATAGTGGAATACCAGGGTAGCATATACTTAGAAAAGAATACTACCTGATAACACCCATGACTTTAACATGAATGAAATGACTAAACATCAATCTAAAAGTCTTATTTATCTGGTGACTAAAATGTTCTAGTTTTTTTCCTTAAGGATTCAATCATAGGAAGTGTCATAAGCATGGAAAGCTGCTAGAAAGTCGCTTTTGAGAAAATCCCTGCAATACAATTCTAACCAAGTTTTATTGGAAACGATTTTTGAAGTGGATTCTCTCACCGACGGGCAGACCTCTCAAGATCCCGTAAAGAAAGTTGGCTTGAGACTGGATTAAATCCTTTATATATCCTATTCTTTCTCATTTCTGATTGGGATGTCAATTGAATTCCTTCTATCTTACAAAATCCGCACTATTAACTTGAATCTGGATAAATTGACTTCTTTCTCAAATTGAAATAAAGGAAGAGGTGATTTGTAGAAGAATGAATTCCTCCTCGAGCAGTGACATATCCTAGAAAGAGGGCTTTTACTGGTCGTTAAGATAGACGTTAAGATAGAGTCGGTGTCGGTAGCGGTTCTTGCAGGATCAGCAACAAGAAGTTTTCCTCCGCTGTACTTCAAGGAGATGTGATCTTTCTTACTCATATCTTGCTGGTTTAGTAAGCCTTTATGATTATTCAAAGTAATGGATAGAAAGAAAGCCCCCTCCTTTTTCTTGTTCTTTGTGTCAAGATAGGAATGGGAGCTATTTGAATGGATGCCTCCTTCTTGAATCAGCCAAGTCAGTAGCCTTTCTACGGGATTGCCTTGTTGATGCAAGGAATAAAGGGCAGCTTTCTTTGATGCCAAGAGAAGTGGAGGAATAACTGCAGCGAAATCATCTGCAGCACATTTCTTCAGGGGCTCGCTCTCAAAGGTAAAGATTATTTGTCAAGGGCAAAGAAATCTCCTCCTTCTTCAGGCGAGATCTAATAGAGGAATCCTTCCGAAGCCCGACTAGAATAAAGCGCTTGTGTCATATTATTATGATTTATATAACATAGAAAGCAAAATCAAGCAATTTGATACATTTTTTCTCTGTATTCTGTATTAGGTATCTAATCTAATATGAGTCACCTTTTATTGGATCTTCTTCTATTATTCTTATTATTCTATTATGTTTTAGTTTATATAATTTATACTTGATAGTCGGAATTGTCTTTTCGTCTCTATCTTCTTTTTCTTTCAGTTCATCCTATTTAAGTTTGTTAATTAGACCCACATAAGTCTGTTATTTCTTTATTTAGGTTGAGTATTAACCAAAAGATAATTCTGATCAAACTAATTTGCTTTTTTTCTATCAACAAAGAAATTACGCGTATATGTAATTACTTCACTCTTGTTGGGTTCATTGTATTTTGATTGATACCACTCACGGCTTACTAAGTCTTTAGCTGGACCTTTGTGTTTAAGTAGAAAAGTATATCATCATTTTGACCCACTAATAGATAGGATTTAGGTGCTAAGAAGTAACCAGTCTCTACTTTATACTCATTCATTTTTTCAATTCAGTCGATGAAAGCTCTTCTTCAAGTATTGGACTTACTGGAACAGCTGAGTCAGTATAATAATAGTATTCAGTAATAGTTTTCTCTGAAAATATATTTGTAGATATGAATAAGCTGTAATAGCAGCTGACATTTGAACAACTAATTCTAGGTGGATTCCAGTCAATGTCGTTAACATCAGCAGTCTTTATCTTATAAGTCAAAAGTAATGATCGCCCAGATTCTTAATATCGAAGAAAGATTGACTCTTTATCAATTCTTCAAATCTCTCTCTAGTGCGTATATCTTATCTCAGTTACTCTACTTTCTGGATTAATACCTAATCTCCCATATAGTATAGTGTGTTCATAAGAAGAAGAATTCTATATAAGACATAGCTTCGTCACCTTTCTTCTTAGATTGATTAGATTTTTGTCCTTGCAGTGATGAGATACATTTTGAGAAAAGGACTAGAACACTTTTCAAATCAGAATCTCCGGTATTACCTTGTAACCCAAGTTTTTTGCATACTGAACCTCTTTGCTATAATAGATCCCCACAAATTCGCCTCTTGGGAATAGTCAACTTCCACCCTCTTTATTCTTTTATTCTTTGTCTCTAGAGGGAGATAAGAAAGATATAATGACAGAGCCAAAGCTTCATGCTCACTTATTAACTAGATTCCAAAGCATGACAAACCTAAATGCCATTAACTAAATGCGTACTTCATGCCAAGCAAGCTTGAATTTAGTTCACACTTTCCCAGTTTCTGATTTTCGAGCATTGCGCTTAGTCAGTGTCCAGTTTCTGATGATTCAGCTACTATTCCTTCCTACTAAAAGAAAAAAAGAAAGAACTCCTTCCTTACCCGCCTCTCCTACTCCTACCTTCGTACTACAAACAAGCCTTTTCCTCGAACTCCCGTTACCGCTGTCCATATTGGCTTGTCTTTGCTTTCCAGGATTGTGCCATCATATTAGCCTCCACATGTTTACCTTCCTTTCACTTCGGCGTATAGCCTGTCTTGTAATTCTTAATTGGCTGATTAAGATCACTCCACCATTGGTTGTTCTTAATCTAAATCCCCTAGGTAGGAATGCTCTTGGTCTTGAGAAAACCAGATCAGGATCAATTGCTGCTATCACTCCCTATGCTTCCGCGTCCCGTACCCCAACCACTTAACCTTAACTAATAGATGCTAGTTGTTGGTAGAACCGCTGCTTGGATTATCTAAGAATAGAATGATGGCTGGAGACAGAGAGGAAACGAGGCTTATCATGCTAGGTAAAATGGAGAGTTGAGTCTTCTCCTCACCCGTGAGCCTGATGAGTCGACCAATTCCTCCACCCCCTTTCCTTCTCTTTACTCTGACTATTTTTTGATAGGGGAGACAGCCCACACTGAACACCAAGCCAATTTCACCTAAGAAGATGTGCACTACATTCGATCAATCCAGGAACATGAAACTTATAGTAAGTGCGTAAGGTACTACCTATCGTAAGAGCTAAGAGCAAGGCTAGCTTCCATCCCTTGCTTCGTACCTATCTTCCATAATTTTGCCTAACAAAAGTTGTATGACTGGTTCAGGCTCTTGTGCTGAGATTGACTTTGTGTTAAGGGGTTCAGGGTCTTATTCAATATTGTCTTAATGGACACTTTCGATAGGGAGTTTGAAAAAAGGCGCTAAACTGCTTTTCTTTTCATAGTCCCCATTGGTGAATTATCGGTGGTCTCTCCCTCGCTAGTACTACTAGTCTAGGTTTTCATTCTTTCTAGTGTTCCACTATAAACATAGAAATTAACATTGACTTCCTTTCGAGGAGCGAAAGCAGCTCTACTGAATGAGTGTAACGAAAAGATACGTATTGAAAGTAATACCTATCGTTGATAAACTCATACGTAGCCTCTTTCCTATGGACGTTATCACAGTCCTATAAGTGGTTGGTTTTCTTCATATCTAATGAATTCCGATTTAGTTAGTCTATACCTACCTTAATGGAAAGGAATCGAAGAAGAAGAGAATATAAGTGAATAAAAAATGAAGGGAAGACAAATTATCATTTCTTTCGAGCGAAATGGAACTAAGAGGGGGTCGGTGCTTAGCCCAGACTTGATCCTTATAATCCTTATAGACTATACAGAAGGGAAAGCCCATGGCCACACACATAAGAGAAGAGTAGACAGTCCGGGTGATCTTTTCTTCTTCTCCCTGAATTTTTTCTTGAACTGTAAAGATAGGTTTACTCTCATTAAGCTTGTCTTGTTGAATTTCTTCTTTCTCTGTAAAGGAGTTAAGCTAATTCATTTCCTATCCAGTCAGTAAAGGTGATTGAGTATAAGGTTCTGGAAATAGAGGTTCGGGTTCAACAATAGCTAATTCATTTATTCTTGTTTCGACTTTCCTTACTGTTCCGGAGCAGTTAAGAAGGAAGAGGAAAGAAGCCAGCAGTGAGACAAGGAACCGGGGACAGGTGATTGAGTTCCGGAGCTGATCTTTCTTTCATTCATTTCCTCCCATGTAAAGGAATAGAATATCTTATTCTTCTTCTTTCTCGTCAGGGTTTCGAGTTCAGTAGCGTCTTCATTAATTTACTCTTTCTTGAAAACAGTTAAAGGATAGGTTCAGCTTTCTTGCTTTCGGCTGGAAAAGCTGCTAATTCAGCATTTAATATCCCTTCTAGAACTGTCAAGTCTGATTAATGTGTCATCTCCCTTTAAAGGCTATTAGTGGGATAGGTTGAGTCTAATTAATGTGTCATCTCCCTTCTTTCTCTACTCTATCTCCTGTGAAGGTTCAGTAGTTCAGTCTCTTTCCTCTCCCTCCCTTATTTGTTCCGGTTCTGGTTCAGGATTTCATAATGATTTATTTCCTTCCTTGTTTACAGTTCAATCAGTTAAATAGATAGGTGAAAGAAAAAGACAAAGAACAGATTCGAGACACACCTACCTTGTTTACTGTTCAATAATAACTCACAAGAATTAAGGAGAAAGAGAAGAAAAAGAAGAAATAGGGACAGGTGAAGAAGATTGGGTTCCGGTTCCAGTTTGAGGTTGAGTCTGACAGTTCACTCTCATTCATAAGCAAGGAGTATTGCTCTTAGTTTACCGTCTTCTAAAGAAGAAATAGGGACAGGTGAAGGAGAAAGAATATGCTTTACCTAGTCTTTAAAGGTGAGAAGGAAAGAAAAGATTCGAGACACACCTTGTTTACAGTTCAAGAAGGTGAAGGAAAAAAGATAGTGAAACCCGAGTTGGATAGGTTCAGGAAAAGGGTTTCGGTTGAGTAAGTAGTGATTGATTGAGTTTACCGAGTTTACTGTGAAAGAATAACTCACAATAACGGAACAAGTAGTTTAGTCGAATGAATCGAGAGTTGAGTCTGAACTCGAATGAATCTTACTTGAGTTTTGTCTTTCAAAGCTGCTAACTCCTGAATTTCTTCTTTCACTGTAAAAGATAATTCATCTTTAGTTGAGTCTTTGTTTACTGTGTTTGAAGGAATAAATAGGGAATATCGTCAAAGGTGAAGGGAAGGTTAATCAATAAGGTAACAGGTTAATCATTAAGGTAACAGGTCGGGGAATAGAGTCAAAGGTTTAAGGTTTCGTCTTTCCTTCCTCATTACCGAGTGTTGGAATAAATAGGCAATGAAATAGCTTTACCTTGTTCAATCTGGGAGGGAGTTAAGGAGAATGAATCTTATCTTGTCTTACTTTCGGCTTTCCTTATTAATTACCTCGTTCAATCAACCATCTATTCTATTTACCTCCTCATAAACAAAGAAGGTGAAGGAGAGAAGCCTATTTACCGAGTTCCTTCAGTAGTTCAGGCAATGGAATTGCGAGACCGAGTTACATCAGTCGAATTAATCAATCTTTTTCTCTTCCATCTTTGAATTGGATTTGACCTTATTCAAGAAGAGAAGGTTCAACTTTCGTCTTTCAAAGCTCCTAATGAATTTACTCCCCTATAAAGAAAGCAACTAAGGATTGAATGAATTGACTCTCCCTACTGTCAAGGAGAATGCGTCTTTCTTGTCTTGCTTTTGTCTCCCTCAAACACAGTAAAGGAGTAAGGAATGTTTCGTCTTGACTCGAAACAAACACTTGAAGGTGAACGAGTGAAGCAGTTACAGAAGGTGAAGGAAAGCAAAGAGAGAGAAGAGACAGACCGACCATATGTTCTCTTAATTAAAGAAGGTAACAGGTAAGTAAATAGGTAAAACTGTTGCTAATGAATGGACTCTCCTTTACAGTCTTTGTTTGAAGGGAAAAGGTTTGATGAGGTTGAGTATTGACTTGTTGGAGAGGTTCAGGAGAATGCATAGGAAAGGTGAGAAGCCACAAGACCTAGTTTATCTCCATAATGAAATAATAAGGGATCAGGGAATAGAGTATAAGGAGCGGATCATACAGCCTATGTTTACTGTTCAAGAATAGGGAAAGGATCCAGATCAGAGAAAGAATAAAAGACCTAGTTACTGGGTTCAAGCAAGAAAGGATCAGAGAAAGAATCAAAGAAAGACCTAGTTACCGGGTTCAAGCAAGAATAAAGAGGAGAGCGAAGCAATGAGAGACCGTAAAATAGTTAGTTCAACCCTTCAGTCGTCGAGTAAATGAATTAGCTGCTTTAGCTGCTTTACCAAAGAGTCAGTCAAAGAGTGAAAGCAAGAAAGGAGAAAGAGCTGTTCCAGAGGGTATAAGTCAGGTAATATAGGAAAAGAAGAATGAGTAAGTGGTTCCAATGAATAAAAGAAGTATTGATATCTTTTACAGTGAATAAATAAATAGAAGTAATTGAGTTCAGGAGTTTCCCTACTGTTTAACGAACCATACATAACTGAATAGAGGAAAAGGTTAAGGTTTTCTCTTTCGTCTTTACTTCCTGTTCACTCTCATTCGTAGTTCAATTAGTCTAATTCATCAATAGGTGAATATCGGTTTCTTTTCTTCTTTCGTTTCATCTCATTCTTGTTTCGTTTCTTCTTTGTTTGGTTCCGGTTCATCTTTCTTCTTCTTCTTTTCTTTCACTCAGTCTCTCATAGAAGTTCTCTTCTTTCTTTTTCTATTTCTTCTCAATTCCGATTCGCCTTCCTCTTCTTTTCCTCTTGTGACTTCTGAATAATCAACTATACAAAAGTCCCTTCATTATCTTACTTTCTCTCTCCCTTGAAATGGCTTCCTCCCCTGCTATGAGTTCTTCTTTCGACTGGTTGACGCTTAGAGCTAAACTACCACCTAGCGCACTAAGGCACCTCATAAGGCTGGATCAACTGAATCCGATAGTAGTTGTCTCTGTCCACTAGAGTGGTGAATGAAAAGCATATTCTCCTATTGCAAGAGTGCCTGCGGAGGCACTTGCTTAGATGAGAGTGGAGTTCCTTCACCTTCAATTGCTTTCCTCTCAACCTCGAACAGCCCCACAGCCTCTCTCTCGTGGGCTAACCAATGCGCCCCTACTAACAGCTATCTAATGCAAATATCTCATTTATGAGCCATATTCGCCTGAATTAAAGGCAATTGAGAGCCAAGCAAGCAAACCTTAAGGCCCACTCGACCTGTATGGATTCCGAAGAACTATAAAATCAAATGAGTAAGCAGTATACTTTCAGTCTAAAGTTTCAGATATCAATAGTAGTGAATATCTATATTTTCCAATATTCAATTGATCGTATGGAAAGATGCCTACACAGAACCTATACGAAGGAGTAAACAAGCCCCGTACTCTACTTGAATTTGACTAGGCATTGATTCCCATCTCGTTCAATCAATCGGCCCTCCTAGGACTGTTGTTTCAAGAATCTGACATTAGCAACCTGAAACGTGAGTGGGGAAGCTGACTACACCTTAGCCCTTTGACTTGAGTTTGATTTCTGCAGTGCTCTATGAGCCGACTGCAAGCACATACCTATGGATCTATGTCACCAAAAACCCCCAGCAAGTCTACCAACCAGCACAGATCTTCCCAAGCAACTTCCAACTGCGCCAACTAGACATGTATCGAAACTTGGCCTATCTCCTCGTTCGCCGCCCCAGAAAGCCTTCCCCACCAACTCTATCTTCACTTCTTGTTCTGATTATGAGGGAAACGGTTTGAAACCCATAACTAGGAATCCGCACTCCCACTCCACTTTGCCTTCGTCCAAAAGAGCTTTGCGCCTGTGCGTGAAGGAATAGACACGCTGATGCTAAGGAAGAGATTGAAAGACACTTTTCCTTTGGAACGGATACGACTATTAATATCTTAATATAAATTCTTCTAACTCGAAATAGAAGCAACAAGCTCGCCCTTTTGTTTTGAAGATTTGGCAACGACAGCGCTACCTAAGCCCATTCTTTCTTCACTTGTGTGACAAATCAAGAAGTTGGTTCAGTGAGGAAAGATAGGGAGAATCTTTCTTGTTGTGGAAAAGCAAGGGAGACGAATATCGAGATTGGGTTCGCGCTCCATAACTAATAGAGAATTCCCTTCTCTAACAGATACTTGGCTTAGAGAGTAGCTAACGTCCTCGGCTGAAGCAAAGATAAGCTAAGCCTTGGCGCAACTCTGCCCGAATCACCCTAGTCTATTGGAAAGATCTGCCAGAACCCTCTTCTCCTTCAGACTCGACTACACGTAAAAGTTGTCTCGGCTGAAGCTAACTCTCTTTCATGAGTGCATAGATGGATGATTTCTCACTTATCACAGCTTGTTGAGGCAACTTCTAAGTTGGCATACCTTGCATACATTGAAAGAAGGACTGCTCCTTTCTCTTTCTTCAGACTTTCAAGTGACATCCATCCCATTCCCGCTAGTGCTACTCTGCCTTCTTTCCCGGCATATCTGCTTTCTTGTCGCATATGCGCTGCTACTAGTTAGAATAAGCAACTAATATGGTAGACTATCGCATATCTTCTTGAAGCTGGTGGTATACATGCGCATATCAGCTATAGAAGGAAGCGGAATAACTTAGTCAGAATCAATCTCCTTTTTAGGAAAGGAATGGCACTAGACTCAAATAGAGCAAAGCTTGCAATATGAGTGTTTGTTCTGCTTTCACAAATGGATCAGCAGTGATCTCTACGGAGTTTTCCTGCACCCGAGCTAAGGGGTTGAATGTCGAAACCAACCATCCCCAGAGTGCGGTGAAAATCCAATATCAATCTGTCTTCCGCTTTGTTAATACATTGATAGCCTGATTAGTAGAGGATTCGAACCCCATAGAATGGTATGGGCTAGATGCCTTCTGATCGTTAGATATAATACACGAATTTATCTATGCATTCATTGAATACTAAATCTCACTAAACCTTCTTTCTAAGTAGTATGATAGAGGTGACGAATGGAGAAAGTTTGATCTCTTCCGACGACAAAAGTGATCAATTGTTGGGCTTTTCGAGGTTCTCTTATTAGGTAAAGAGGTCGAATAGCAAAAATAGCGGGGAAAGACAAAGATCTCGCTTCAGTATGGCTAGGCAGTAGCAAGGAAGGTCTCTCTCGAATCTACACTTTCGAAGCTCGTGCATAAGAGCTTGAAGTGATTCCATTTCTTTGTTTCGAAGCACCACTTGTAAAGGAAGGTCCCAGTCTAATCTTATCCTTTCTTTTATTGGTTAATCCATTTTTTCGGAAAAGGGCTATACTATAACTATAGGATGGGGTCCTCTAAGAAAGAGAAAATTAGCATTGCCTCGTAGTATTGTCCTTATTCTGCCTTATATCACACCTTATCCACCCGTTAAAAGGGGGCCGGGAGTGGAAATAGAGCTCCAGCCTAACTACTAAACTACTATTGGTAGACGAGGTCAAATTCCTTCGATCAAGTGAAAGCGGCAGGATAGGCCTTTTGCTTTTGATAACCGATTCTAAGGAAAGGCAAACTAGGACGCGTTAGAAATAGCAGGTTCTAGGGCAAAAAACGAATGTTGTTCCATCCCCTTTCATCTTTTGCTAGCTCTTTGTCAAGGTCAAGTTCTCTTCGCTTTCTACTACCCTTCCTGTTGAAGTGAAGTTCTAATTAGAAAGGCATATATTTCCATGTAAGTTGTATGCTACCCGGTTGGAGTGGCCTACAAGGTAGGGATATGCTGGAAATGGAACGACATAGGTTGTGGGAATTGGATCAATTTGAACTGATCCAAATAAAAGTACCCCTTACCTCACGTATTGGCTCTCCTTATTATATTCTTATACTTTTAGTCTAATTCTCATTCTCAGCATCAAGGGGCTCTCAACTATAAGATAGTGGCTAGTAGTCGATTCTTCGGAGTTCACAACCGTAGCTGCATCAAGCCCTAGCCTACCATCCGAACTTGTTGAATCAGCATCGTAATCAGCAGTTGGAATTGAATCAGTGCTTGGTCTATTCCTCCTACTCGTTATTCCTTTCATTTTGCATTTTGACTTGTTGATAACCTTCGCTGCTTCCGAAAGCCGCCTTGGAGTGGATAAAAAGAAAAAAGAAAAGCCTGCCTTGCGCCCTGTTTCTCCTGAAAGGTCAGTTCAAGCACATAGCCTGAACTACACCTTTAAGCTATCAATTCCATTCGATCTCCAGAACTGTCACCTACGAACAACCTTATTCATTGACACTGATACAGTAAACTTTTTGAAGCAGTATGATAATAAGGCTTCCGTCACCTCTGATTGCTAGGGCTAGTTCTATGATGTTGTTTTCTCTGTATCGTATCTTGCCCTCGTTCCCCGGGCCTACTGCCAGCAGACGCCTTCCCCTCCGTTTGATAGTTCCGTTCTGTCTGCTGCCCCCATTTGCGTAGTTGCTTGTTTCATCTTTCTTGAAAAGATATGTGGTTGGTGTTCAGAATTAGCTTTATAGCCTGCCGGAACGAAATCTAGAGACAATGCAGCAAGAGCGAGACCCGGAAAAAGAGCAAAACCCAGATAGGAATATTTTGTAGCCATGATCGTGATAAAGATCAAGCCTGCTGTGTACCCAGGCAAAGGACATTGAGGCTGACGCTTCTAGAATACGGTTTAAATCATAAATCAAGATCAAAGTCAAGAAATTGATGCATAACTATTTCAGACCCCTCCTTGAACTTGTATCCATGGCAAATCCCTGATTCACTTCTCACTCCCAAGGAAAGCAGGGCATAGTGTGAGTGATATCTTTCTTTCGTTGAGGAGACTGTAGCCTGAACTGAAACCTACACTCTTTTCTTGTGTGTAATGCGTAGCTACTATTTCTAATTCTAATTCATTCTTATCGGTTTTTAACACCTCTCTTCTTAAAAAAGATTAGGGCGGGGAACTGAGGAATCAAGCACCTTCGAACCGCAAGGGCTAAGACTAGTGATCTTCTTCGCATCGAGATAGAAACTCATTGATAAAGGATCTCACCTTACTCTAAGAAGGTAGCTTTCTTACTTCGGATGTTGCAGAGGAAAGACTAGAAGGAGGGAGAGTTGGTCAAGTCTTAAGACAAGGCTCGAATAAATAAGCTCTTACAGTTAGGAATGAAACAGACTAACTAAGAGTAGGAATACAGGGAAAAGAAGTCCCCTCCACTCTGAATCAGTGGTGGATCAAAATCAGTCATTCACAACCATGAAGGGTTCCTCGAAAAGGGAAGGATTAGTCATTTTAGAAAGAGAATGGATTCGGTCTTATACATACGCGAGGAAGGTAATAAAAAAAGGAAGGAAAGAAGATGAGTTCTTCTTTTCCATATAGCTTAGGAGTTGTGCGAGATAAAAGTCTGATGCACGGTTTTGAATGAGAAAGAAGTGTGAGGAATCCTCTTTTAGACTCTGACTCTCCCACTCCAGTCGTTGCTTTTCTTTCTGTTACTTCGAAAGTAGCTGCTTCAGCTTCAGCCACTCTAATTTTCGATATTCCTTTTTCTTTCTCATCAAACGACATCTTCTTCTGGAAATCCTAGCTATTCTTAGCATGATATTGGGGAATCTCATTGTTATTACTTAAACAAGCATGAAAAAAGGTATGCTTGCGTATTGGTCCGTCAAATCGGATATGTCATTATTGGAATAAGAAATTGTTGGAGACTCTAATGGTGGACAAGCATGATAACTTATATGCTGTTCTATATCGCCATGAATGATGGAACTTTTGCTCGCATTGTATCATTTGGTCTACGTACCGAAACTGATCACATTCGAAATTATGCAGAATTCTACACAATCCTCTTTTGGCTCTCTCTTTAGCCCTATGTCTCTTATCCTTAGGAGGTCTTCCTCCACTAGTAGCAGGTTCTTTCGGAAAACTTCATTGATTCTAGTGTGGATGGCAACCTATATTTCTTGGTTTCAATAGGACTCCTTACGAGCATTGTTTCTATCTACTATTAGATCAAAATAATCAAGTGATTAATGACTAAACCAATAAATAACCCCTCACGTGCGAAATGATAGAAGATCTCCATCCTTTAAGATCAAAAAATTCCATCGAATTGAGTATGATTGTATGTGTGATATGATAGCATCTACTATACCAGGAATATCGATGAACCCTATTATGGAAATTGCTCAGGATACCCTTTTTTCGTTTAGCTTCTAGAATCTATTTCTTAGTTCAAGATCCCTCTGACTAACTGGAATCAAAGAATGAGTAGATCTGTTCCGCCCAAAATGGGAATGGGCTAGGGGGGTTATTTAGAATCTATAATCTGATGATCGAGTCGATTCCATGATTCTAAGTTCATTCCATACCGGGCCAGAGGAATAGGGCTAGGTTATATACATTCGAATTATGAGAAGGGGTCATCCGAGCGTATTGAAATAGATACTATGTATACATATGGATCCCTACGTCCTTCCATTCCATTTAGGATTAGGAATAGGCGTACGGACCTTTTACATATCTCTCGTTATTTGGGACCCTATTCTTTGGGCTTCTATTGAATCGAGAAATAGGGTTGATTGTCCATCTTTTTGATATAATAGTAAGGCATCCTCCAGATAATTCAAATCGAAGCAGTTGGATGTCCGCCTCGGACCTATATGACATGACCGAGCAATAGAAATACTCTAACACTCTACCTCATATATTCCATACATCACACTAGATAGATATCATATTCATGGAATATGCTTGAAAGATGCCTTGGTGGTGAAATGGTAGACATGCGAGACTCAGAATCTCGTGCTAAAGAGCGTGGAGGTTCGAGTCCTCTTCAAGGCATAATGTTGAGAATGCCCCTTGAATTGGAAGGAATAAGTTCGGCAGCGGATCACGAAATCTTTGCGATCTTCTCTTGAATGGGAGTCAGCTTTGGAATCGTCCGCCCTGCACCCCCGAGTGTATGTAACTTCTGGGAAGATGCCCACCCGTAACCCAGAAAGTACATTACATAGTCCGTTTTAGGGATTGGCTACTTACCCATTCAGTGACTTTGGCACTGGACGTTCAAAAAATGGGGTAGGGGTGGGTGAATTCATCTCCTTTCAGGGCCTACCCGATAGAGAATCCAGTATTTCTTGGTTGTGAATATCTGAATAGGACGAACCAACCGCGGCTCGTTGAACTGAAATGTGTATTCTCCATATAGTAGGGGAAAGGGTCTCGTTGAACTGGAATGTGTATTCTCCATATAGTAGGGGATCTTTCAATGGAGAAGATCCGAGATCCGTCGACCTAAGATGGTCTATTTGATTTAGTTATTCAGTTAAACCAATGATTCGTTATTGTAACAGATTGAATCCGGGGATCATTTGATCCAATAGCGTTCCGTTAGATTTGATCCGAAGTGCTTTTCTTGCATATTCTTGATAAACCTGCCTTTCTATATACATATAGGGTAGGGGGATCTGTTTGGGAAGTCAGCCCTTTTACATCTCTTCGTCTGCAAAGAATTCTCGATGCGAAAACATAGAGACAAAAGGCTGATCTTTGAATAGGAAAAAGAGTGGATCTGCGGGATCCCAAATGAATTGGCTTATTCGAAAAAAGTCTTGTTCGTTGGAAGGCTGATCTCGTGTCTGGTACTGCACGGTTCCACTCTGCAAGAACTTCGAATCATTCTTTGAATCAGAAATGATCTGCTTGCCCCGAAATGACCTAGCCCAATAGGGAAATCCCAATGAATTGGCCCTTTCGATACAATCAAATGGAAAGAAAGCCCCAAGGGCGCCATATTCTAGGAGCCCAAACTATGTGATTGAATAAATCCTCCTCTATCTCTTGCGGGTCGAGGACACCTTCCCCTTCTTTCCGATTCGTATTATTCATAGAGAAATCTCTTATCAACAATAGAACAAGATCCATTTTGTATCATATCTACGGGTGATTCCTGGGTTCGGGCCGAAGAAGCAATCTCACTTGATCATTATCAAATCGACTGCAATCTTTTTCTGTCTGGGAGGATCCCAATCCCAAGCCTTTCTATATGCTATGATAAGCATCTTCCTTGTTCTCTTTCGAGCTGGTTCTACCCTTTCAATCCTGACTTCCTAAGTACCAACTGGCTGAAGAGGGGCTTGACTCACTCTGAATATCCAGAGATGATGATTGAGTAAATGAAGTAGTGGCAAGGAGGTTGTTAATATACACTTTATTCACTTGTCTGGCTATAGCGACTGTTTTTCTTTGATAGCATGCTTGACTTACCACCATTGCTTTCTGAACCTAACCCTTAGAAACCCCTCCATCTAATTCTCTTTCTCTAACCGTATGTCTAGTGGCTAGAGCAAAGAATCAATCAATCCGCTTTAGCCCCAATTCCCTAAACATTGATCTACTTTCAAATAAACAAACAAAGGTCAATCAAGCTATATAAACCAAAGAGAGACCATGGATGCCTACAGCTAGCCTTTCAGCAAAGAAAGGGATTGGCCCATCCAAACTCAAATTACCATCCTTGAACCATCCTCACGCCTGAAATTAAAGAAGATGATGGATTGTGTAACGAATGAGAGTTGGTTCTTGTGGGGCTTAAAGGAAAGCTAAGAAAGACAACATAAAGAGAAGCGAGCACTCCTTAGAAGGGGAAAGACCAGGATTGAGCAACGATTTAGACCATCCTCCTAACTATGCCTGAAATAGCTAAACAAGGTAAGAGGACTGTCTTTCACGGAGCTGCTGCTACAATAAGGCCTTCGGTAGCCAGAGGTAGAGTTCTTCCATTCAAAAAGAAAGAGAATTATCCCGCTTTGAACAAGAGGCATGCTTACTGGTCTTATTCGATGATTGGATGTCCCAAAGGTGCTCTCCACGGCGAGAAACCTAGGGAGTGATGAACGGCTTGTTATCAACAATTGAAGAATGGCTTTGCTTGATTTCCTACCCCTGACTTCTGCTGTTCTCTTTCTTTGAGTGGAAAAATGAATGACTTAGTTCAAAGAGAGGTCAATGTCAATTGATCACCTCGGTCGGTAGCCAAATGTACTTGACTTTACATACACGTTGTTGGGGGGCACTCTCATTTATTTGAAGAAAGCACTTCCAAGAGGCAGTCCCTTGACCTTTACCATACATGGATAAGTCATTTGTCGTACAACGCTTGCCCCCTAGCTTCTTGACGCTAAACTACAAGATAGCCTTCCATACCTTTTGAAAGAAAGGAGAAGAAGGAGAAGTAGATGAGAATTTGATAATAGCAGGCGCAGGGGAGAGTCCGAGTATCTACTACAGGGCCAAAATGAGATAACAGGGCTCTCCCCGATGATAGCTCTCCGATAACGTGGAAAAAAGAGACTCGACTCCCTCCCAAATTCAACTTGCTGATCTGAATTTGTGCTATATTTCCCGGATGGAATTCGCGTGGAACCAACATCACACGGTCTCTCTCGAGAAAAAGAATATGTTAATTGGCTACGCCCCTTCGAGAAGGCTAGCAACCTTTACTGCCCACAAACTTTGCACCTGGGGATTAGTTATAAAGGACTTGGAGACGGGGATTGATTTCTGGCTGTCCTAACAAGCCAAATAGCGTAGCGTATAGAAGAAAAAAAGGTATCCCAGTGATCGCCTATGCCCTTTCTTTGGGTTCGTTTTGCCGAAAAATCAAACAAAGGGGTAAGATTACCTACCTCTCGCCTATGCTTCTGCCCAATGCCATTCAAGGATAAGAGGACGCCCTTACCTTACTAAAGAAAGAAAGTCATGCAGACCATTAGTGAAGGGCCGGGAATCAGTCAAAGCTCTAGCAGGAGGGTACGAATACAGGATGGGGGTAATTCATTCTCTTTACCCCAGTGGCTATTCTAGCTTTGTCTCAGAGTTTCAGACCGGGTTGCTGTTCTACCAAGCCTTCAGCCGAGGGCTTCAAATTCAACGCCGATGAAAAAAAGAACAAGTACAACTAACCATGCGCGAATACATTTCTTCTTTTGTTCTATATATAGAGAACAAATATCAGAGCAAGCACCAATAGCAGTAGATCGGGAACAGAGAACTCCGTGGGAACAAACTGCCTTTGGTCTTAATCTTAAGCTGACCTTCGTCGAAAGAGTTGAAGACGGTAAGGTAGAAGCGAGTTTATCTTGACTAGTTGCCCCTTTCTCTTAGAAGAGGATATCCACCCGGATAGAGGGAATACAAAGATAGTAGGAACGTAGGGAATTCCAGAATGAGGGAAAATAGAAGATCGAAGAAGCGTAACTTCTCAAATCAAATAGTTGGGGCAAAAGCCTTAGATTCTCTTATGATTTCCTTTCGGCTCATCTCCTCTCTTATCCTCCTGGCTATTCCCCCTGCTAAATCAGATCTAGTAGTTGTAGGCAGTGTTAGAAGGCTAAAGCATTACGAAGTTTGATAGAGCATTACTAAGTAAGAAAGACAGACCGAGCTAGCTGTCTTAGACGCCTTAAGGCTGAAGGTTAAAGCCTGACTTCAGTCATTCCTATAGCTTTCTGTTAGCCCAGACTTCCCATTGAAGTTAGTATTTCAGTGTTCTTATACAAAGCCCCTGCTTCATCTATGTCGGCAAGGCATAATACCAAAAAGGTAACTCGGGAATAAAGCCATTAATCAGACTTAGGCAAAAGCCCTTCAAATCCCTTATCTTGGAATTCCATTACTAAACCTGGTGAAGCAAGCCCTTACTTTGATGAAAGAGTTTCAAGATGCAAGTATGATTATTAGTTGAAAACCTAGTCTTTATAAGTCCCACGGTGGGAAAGAAAAGCCATCTAAGGTAATAAGCTACTTTATCAGCTAAAGGATAAGCAATAAAAGGCTAAGGATCCTATCTAGCTTCTTCTTCCCAGATCTGCTATATCTAGCCAAATCTCCTTATCTGCTAAAGGATTTCCCCTATCTGGGGAACATACGGAGGATGCTGATTTTTCGGGTCTTTACTTCGTCATGTCTCGTCCTGTAATAAGAACCATGGCATTCGCAACCTTGATCTAGTTAGTGTTAGTAGAGGCCGTACTTGGAATAAATAATAAATAGATGGGGAAGGATGTCTTTTACGGGAGGAAGTTTGAATCAATACCTATTTTTGATCTCTTTCCTGGCGAAGGCATTAGAGCTAGAAGAAGAAGCCACATGAGGACAAGAAAAGGCCTTAAAGCACAGATTTACCACACACACCCTGCTATAGAATATAGAAGAAGATCAGCTAGAAGCTAACATCTCAGTAGGCTGCTCGGAAAGCCTATTCTATTATCTGGAAGAACTCATTATAATAATAATACTTGAGGCTAGGTTGTTAGGAAGTTCATTCTAGTCTAGTAAGGTTAACGAGTTACAGGGGAGCTCCAAGTAAACCTAACTCACCACTTTCAGGTCTGGGCTATTCCCCCAGCTTCCTCCTCAAAGGAAGCAAGTCATCGTCGATCTATTGCATTCCCGTCTTTATTAGTCTAAAGTAAGGAAGTTGGAAAGTGTCAAGCTAGGGATTCTCTTCCCGTCTGTCTCTGCTCCTAGTCCCTTCTCTATTGACTTAGGAAAGGCAGTAAGAAAGTCGTCCGTCTCAGGGCCTATAGCCCCCAAGATCAATCAATCTTGCTATTGAGCTTCCCGTCTCTTATCTAGGAGTAAAGGAAGTAGAAAGAAAGTTCTCAAGTCGGAGAAAACCACTCATTCTAAGACTTATAATAAAAGGTACAAGGCCAGATTAGTCTTATAGCTTTTTCAAAGTCCTCACTTCAGCAGATCTTCTAGGCTCAAGGAAAGAAGAAAGAATCGAAGAAGATCCTTCTGAGTAAAGAATGACAGTTTCCGGTGAATGATTTCCTAGAGTTTACTATGGAATTGGAATTTAGGCTGAGCATTACGAAAGAGATTGAGCTTGCAAAGCAGTGACTTAGCTTCCTCTTTCGTTAGGGATAAAAGACAGATCTGGCCTTTCTCCCTCCTAATAACTTCAAATACCCAAGAAAATAACTGCAAAATACCTGAGGATGCATACAACATTAATGGAGCAAACTCTTACGCATACAACATTAATGGACCGAACTCTTACTCTTAAA